TAACTAAGAAAAATAGACAGCATCCATTACTTACATTTGATAATCAGATAATTCACGAAAATAATTCTCATAAACATCTTGGCGTAGTATTTAATAATAATGGTTCTTGGGGTGATCATGTTAAATATATTTATGATACATCATGTAAAAGATTAAATATTCTACGTATGCTAAAACATAAAATTGATAGGAAATCTTTAGAATTACTATCTCTCTGCTTCATTCGTCCTACTTTAGAATATGCCTCTTCTGTCTGGGGTAATTGTAATATTGGGGTAGAAAAACTACTGGAATCCGTTCAAATTGAAGCAATGAAAATTGTAACTGGCCTTAGAAGTGGTACATCTCATCAGAAATTATACTATGAAACAGGTTTTGAAAAATTAAAAGATCAGCGGAATAAGCATAAACTTGTCTTAATGTTCGAAATCATCAATTACTTAACACCTGATTATTTATTTGACATCATCATTCTTCTCTGACTATTAATTCATTTAAAAAGAAAATTAACAAAATTTAAACACCTCCCAGGAACATTTCTGATGACTTCATCACCTGTAATCCAAGAAAACTAAATATATTATTGTGTCAATTACGTAATAATGCTAGCAAATTAAATTTTGATAAATGCAATGATCACTTGATAGTTGATCCATCTTGCTCTTGTGGCGCATCTTGTGAAAATGCTGAACATTATTTCTTCTTCTGTCCACTTTATACTAACTAAATGACATCACTAATCATTTTGGATATTCATCTGTTGATCTACTTACATCTAGTAATGCTTATCTTTCTACTGATGATAATTTATTTATTCTCTCAAAAGTTCAACAATACATTTCTGCTACTAACAGATTTAATTAGAATTAGGACTGTTTTCATTGCCTCTTATACTTATATTTATTTATATGTATATATATATATATTTATTATATAATTTTTAGAAGTTATTTAATTATTATGCTTTTGAGTAAGGGATTGTGTGTGTGTGAATGCATATTTATTATGTGTGTATGTGAGGGTGTGTGTGTATGTGTGTTATGGTGTGCGGTCTGAGTGTACAAACATCTATATGATTTGCTAAGAAAGTATATTATGAGTTTTCAAATGTCATCAAATAATGTTTCTTTTCTTTCTTATATTTGTAACTTGGTTGAATGTTCTAGCCTATATGTTTGTAAGTGTATATGAGTGTGTCTTGTTGATCTATGTACTAAATCTATGCTTCTTGTCAATCTATACCGGATAGGAGAAGACTTATATAGGCTAAGCCTGTTGTCGCATCCAATTGTGCATTTTTTTTTGTACAATAAAATGTATTGAAATATAAATGCAACAACAATGCTAGTTGAATTCGGATGTATTTACTTCTTATTTAACTAATAGCACTGACTGTAAGGGTGGTTAGCCGACTGAGGTAACCATCACAGGTCTTACATTATCCTCTCTATAGTTTCACTATTTGCTCTGCGTTACTAGTTTTCCTCTTTAATATTCAAGCTGTTCTGTATGGATATCAAAAAGTTTGATTTGAATATATCTATTCTAGAGTTGATTCATGGATTTATTACAGATTTTAGACAATCTTTTAATTTGTGATTTTCTATTGGTGTTATTGCGGGTATTGGTCGGCTTGTCAGCTGTCTTGTGAGGAGGAGGCAAGCTCTGTGGGGAGTGGGTCCAGCTCAGAATGGTGTAAAGACAATACATTATATTTGTTGAACATTACATTATTCAAACAGCCATAAATACACCAGAATATGTATCTAGTCTAGCTACAACAAACTACAACAGAACCCCAGCATATTATGCAACTTAGCAAAAACCTTGAAAATGATATTTAACGTGTAGGAACCCGTCATCATGCTGGCAAAGAACATAACGCAGGGATATATATATCAGAGGAGAAGAACATAACGCAGGGATATATATATCAGAGGAGAAGAACATAACGCAGGGATATATATATCAGAGGAGAAGAACATAACGCAGGGATATATATATCAGAGGAGAAGAACATAACGCAGGGATATATATATCAGAGGAGAAGAACACATTAATAGAGGATCACATAGCACCATCTCTACCTAGGAGTAGCCAGCAACCGGAAATCAACAAATATACAACAGCAGCTTATCTAGAAGAACTTTAAAACGCTGTCAGAATCTGGTAGAGGAAAGAGCATACCACAACCAAGTAAGACCTATATAAGATTACGTCACTACACAGCATGATGGTCGTATATACTTCACAACAACAAAAAGGGCAAAACAATTCTAGAAAATATGAAGCATGATGTTAATCCACAATTGTAACAAACAAGATGTGGAAGGAAACATCACACATGGGTCTTATTCTATGATACAAAATAATTAAGTAAACATCAATTGCCTAGACATCTTCGATGTGGCAGTCAGGATTGTGGTAGTAGACAGGGATGTGGCAGTCAGGATCGCGGTAGTAGACAGTGATGTGGCAGTCAGGATCGCGGTAGTAGACAGGGATGTGGCAGTGTTGATCGAAGTAGTAGACAGGGATGTGGCAGTCAGGATCGGAGTAGTAGACAGGGATGTGGCAGTCAGGATCGTGGTAGTAGACAGGGATTTGGCAGTCAGGATTGTGGTAGTAGACAGAGATGTGGCAGTCAGGATCGCGGCAGTGGACAGGGATGTGACAGTCAGGATCGTGGTAGTAGACAGGGATGTGGCAGTCAGGATCGCAGTAGTAGACAGGGATGTAGCAGTCAGGATCGTGGTAGTAGACAGGGATTTGGCAGTCAGGATCGTGGTAGTAGACAGAGATGTGGCAGTCAGGATCGTGGTAGTAGACAGAGATGTGGCAGTAAGGATCGTGGTAGTAGACAAGGAAGTGGCAATAAGGATCGTGGTAGTAGACAGGGATGTGGCAGTCAGGATCGTGGTAGTAGACAGAGATGTGGCAGTAAGGATCGTGGTAGTAGACAAGGAAGTGGCAATAAGGATCGTGGTAGTAGACAGTGATGTGACAGTCAGGATCGCGGTAGTAGACAGTGATGTGACAGTCAGGATCGTGGTAGTAGAAAGGGATGTGGCAATAAGGATCTTGGTAGTAGACAGAGATGTGACAGTCAGGATCGTGGTAGTAGACAGGGATGTGGCAGTCAGGATCGCGGTAGTAGACAGGGATGTGGCAGTCAGGATCGTGGTAGTAGACAGAGATGTGGCAGTCAGGATCGTGGTAGTAGACAGTGATGTGGCAGTCAGGATCGTGGTAGCAGACAAGGATGTGGCAATAAGGATCGTGGTAGTAGACAGAGATGTGGCAGTCAGGATTGTGGTAGTAGACAGGGATGTGGCAGTCAGGATCGCGGTAGTAGAAAGGGAAGTGGCAGTCAGGATCGTGGTAGTAGACAGGGATGTGGCAGTCAGGATCGCGGTAGTAGGTAGGGATGTGGCAGTCAGGATCGCGGTAGAAGACAGGGATGTGACAGTCAGGATCGTGGTAGTAGACAGGGATGTGACAGTCAGGATCGCGGTAGTAGACAGTGATGTGGCAGTCAGGATCGTGGTAGTAGACAGAGATGTGGCAATAAGGATCGTGGTAGTAGATAGAGATGTGGTAGTCAGGATTGCGGTAGTCGACAAGGATATGGCAGTCAGGATTGCGGTAGTCGACAGGGATATGGCAGTCAGGATCGCGGTAGTAGACAGTGATGTGGCAGTCAGGATCGTGGTAGAAGACAGGGATGTGGCAGTCAGGATCGCGGTAGAAGACAGGGATGTGACAGTCAGGATCGTGGTAGTAGACAGGGATGTGGCAGTCAGGATCGTGGTTGTAGACAGGGATGTGGCAGTCAGGATAGCAGTATAGTAGACAGGGATGTGGCAGTCTTGATCGAAGTAGTAGACAGGGATGTGGCAGTCAGGAAAGCAATATAGTAGACAGGGATGTGACAGTCAGGATCGCGGTAGTAGACAGTGATGTGGCAGTCAGGATAGCAGTATAGTAGACAGGGATGTGGCAGTCAGGATCGTGGTAGAAGACAGGGATGTGGCAGTCAGGATCGCGGTAGTAGACAGGGATGTGGCAGTCAGGATCGCGGTAGTAGACAGGGATGCGGCAGTCAGGATCGTGGTAGTAGACAGGGATGTGGCAGTCAGGATAGCAGTATAGTAGACAGGGATGTGACAGTCAGGATCGCGGTAGTAGACAATGATGTGGCAGTCAGGATCGTGGTAGTAGACAGAGATGTGGCAATAAGGATCGTGGTAGTAGACAGAGATGTGGCAGTCTTGATCGAAGTAGTAGACAGGGATGTGGCAGTCAGGATCGTGGTAGTAGACAGGGATGCGGCAGTCAGGATCGTGGTAGTAGACAGGGATGCGGCAGTCAGGATTGCGGTAGTAGACAGGGACGTGGCAGTCAGGATTGCGGTAGTCGACAGGGATATGGCAGTCAGGATTGCGGTAGTCGACAGGGTTATGGCAGTCAGGATCGCGGTAGTAGACAGGGATGTGGCAGTGTTGATCGAAGTAGTAGACAGGGATGTGGCAGTCAGGATCGTGGTAGTAGACAGTGATGTGGCAGTCAGGATCGCAGTGGTGTACCTCCTAAATATTGACCTTCTCTGTGTGGACGATGGTGAACCTCCTAAATATTGACCTTCTCTGTGTGGACGATGGTGAACCTCCTAAATATTGACCTTCTCTGTGTGGACGATGGTGAACCTCCTAAATATTGACCTACTCTTAGAGAGGGATGCAGCAGTCGGGGTCGTGGTAGTTGACAGGGAGACAGGGATGTGGCAGGGATGATCGCGGTAGTAGACAGGGGTGTGGCAGTCTTGATCGAAGTAGTAGACAGGGATGTGGCAGTCAGGATCGTGTAAGTAGAGAGGGATGCAGCAGTCAGGATCGTGGTAGTTGACAGGGATGTGGCAGTCAGGATCGCGGTAGTAGACAGGGATGTGGCAGTCAGGATCGCGGTAGTAGACAAGGGTGTGGCAGTCAGGATCGCAGTGGTGTACCTCCTAAATACCAACCTACTCTGTGTGGACGATGGTGAACCTCCTAAATATTGACCTTCTCTGTGTGGACGATGGTGTACCTCCTAAATACCGACCTACTCTGTGTGGACGATGGTGTACCTCCTAAATATTGACCTACTCTATGTGGACGATGGTGTACCTCCTAAATACCGACCTACTCTGTGTGGACGATGGTGTACCTCCTAAATA